GTATCCAATATATTTGCTTAATGCATCCGCTGAAAGTTATATTCATTCATAATCACACTTAAACATATCCTTTTTTGCTTGAACATGCTGCCTAGTTTCTTCTTATATTTTAAATACTGCTGCCTCATTCTCTGCTATCGTTTTTATGAATAAATTTTTTAAGCCTGCTTCTTAGTTTCCTTTTTTTTTCTCTCTTTGTCCGCATGAAAAGTCGCCAGCGATGAATGTATTTCGGTAATTACTGCGGCTGTTGAATTGCTCATAGAGTATTATCTCCGTTGAGAGAAATTCTAAGCCACAAAATCGCCACATGTACGGCATAAAAATATGATTATCATAAATAAGCAATTAAAACAGTTAGTAAAACAGTTGGTAGTTTTTAGGTTTAGCACACTTACGCGATTTGCTGAAATGAGCAACTATGAATTTGCAGCAAAATTTTCTAGTAACAAATTTATCAAATGTAACTAAAAGAGAAGTTTACATAATCATGAAAAAAGTTTGTCCACTTTAAAGCAATGCGTAAACGATTTCTAGCTTAATTTACTATATGGTGGTATATTTCAGTTAAAGGAAATTTATTTCTTAGAAGCTGTTATATCTGATGCAGGAGTGTAAATGAAGACACTAATAAAATAATTTCTGCCAGTATTTACAAAAGAGAAGTTATAGTTAGGTCACAGTTTCTATTTCATTTCGTGAGACGTTGCTCGCTACTAGCAATATCTGATTTTTAAGATCATGTGACCGAATTGCACAGAACGGAGAATAATTGGTTATGGAATTCTAAATAGTTTTTTTATCTTAAGACTAGCTTTAAGTTGTATACAGATTGAGCAAATAGTTTCTAATGTTTTCTTATACTATAGTATGTTATCTCAAGGTTATGTCAAAGCTCAAGCCACTTCAAATATTTATATACGCACATTCAAGGCAAATTAAAGTTTATTGTGCTCATGTGATCAACACTATTATTATTATTATTAGAAATAATTACAATTTAATTAAAAACAAACAAAATTGAGGTTAGTGTTGTTTAATCGCGTCATTTGTGGAGAAAAGCTCATGGAAAAAGGCAATCGAACTCTTATTTACAAAGGTCATCACATATTTGACCTTCATTACTTGCTAACTCGATTTCCCTTTTTCATGTGGATACAGATATTTATTTTATAGTTATACCCCACATTTCTCGCAATCAATAAAAAACTATAAACGGAACGTCGTCAACTCTAATATATGAACTCATATTCCAGATATACTTATTTTATTTATAGAATGTCTTATTGCCCTACAAAGTATGTACGACTATATAAATCAACAGCGTGACGAGCTAATTCGATTTAGTGATGTTCGTCTGTCTATCTATCGGTCCGTCTGTGTGAAGCAGCTGCTCGATATCGGATACTATACTATACCATATAGCTACCATACAAACTGAACGATCGGAATTAAGTGCTTATATAGAAAGCTTTTTCATTTTATAAGATATCTTCGCGAAATTTGGCACGGGTTATTGCCTATGACACTGATGCAATATGTAAAGAAATTGTTCAGATCGAGTCACTATAGCTTATAATTTTTATACAAACTGACCGATCAAAGTTATTGTAAGGCATCTAATGTATTTGTGAAGGGTATTATAGCTTCGTTGCAACCGAAGTTAAAGTGTCTACTTGTTAATGTTTATGAAATGTTACGTTGACATTGAATTTTGCTTGCATCCACGTGCGATGTAGCACATTATTCAAGGACATAAATAAACATAAATAAAAAAATTTTTATTTGCTCTTGCGCTGTCAACTACGAGTGTCATTGGCAAGCAAAATAATTATAGTGTATTAATTCAGTGGTACTGCACAAGATATCGTCGCCTATTCAGACATGACATAAAGCAACTGTGCAGCATATGTCGCGACAATTTGTTAAGAAATGTGTACGCTCTGAGCGAAGTTATCGTGGTCAGAATTATTATATATATTACATACCTCACTTCTGATATATACTTGTATGTATGTGTGTTGGATATGCAATTTTTTTCGACTTTTACAATTGCAAAATTTTCGGGATCTTATTACAACAATTAGGCAATTCTGGAACTAGTTCAACTCTTTCCTTCAAATATATTGCAAAAAAAAAGAATCCTGCTATTTTGGAACCGAAATTCTGAATTGTGTTCCTTTGTGTGTTGGCAAGGCTTTATAGCCATTTTCATCTAAGTTCTTTTCTTTCACTATAGAATTTTATTTGACATCAGGTTAGACGAAATATATGTATGTTAATATATACAAGTATATTCACATAAAGAAATCGCAGTTCATATTGGTTTTGAAAACACGTGAACTTTTTCTTGTCTTTATGCAAACTGCACATTTCTCTTCAAAGCAAATGCGAAAAAGTGCTGAAAATCATCGAAAACTACGCCTATATTTCTGCATACTAAGTACGTAAGTATACAAAAATGTACAAAATCGCGTTTTCTTTAGCCCTGTAGGAAATTTGAAAAAATATCGGCTATTTTTTCAACTTTTGAAAACTTACTTAGAGTTTGTAACAATGGAATAAGACATTCCTCTCTAATTATTGAATAGCAGCTTACCATTTTTCTTCTATTGACTCTGTCAGCTATAAACTATAACGAAAAGCTATCTTCTCAGCGCTTAGTGTATATTTCCTGCAAGCAATGTACACAAACCCAATCACATATAATTTAATATGTGCTTACTCGCCGGGAATTTCATTTTCAAACTGCATATGACGCTCTTGAATACGCACTTGTGCGCCGAAGGAAATTTATTTTATTTTAGCCGACGTGCACTCAGCATTCAATATTCGTGTACCGTTGAATTTATGTGTGCAGTCGTGTGTAAGAGCTATTTGCTGTTTTCGCATGTTTTTTTTGTGTTTGAATCGTAAATTGCTGTTAAGTTATGTAACTACCAACAACAAAAACCATAGCATTTTTAAAGCTGCTGGAACTACATGGGTTTACTGAAGTGATGGCGTTTTGTTTCAGAGTGCAACTTAGGTGTCCTACACACAGGTGAGTTTGCCAATTTGAGAAACCATTCAAGCAAGAAAGTTCACAAAATTTACAAGTGTTGAAGTTCGCAATTAAGAACAAGCAAGAAATTGAAAAGTGTTATCATATTGTTGCGAAACGAGTATTGTGGTTTATAGTAGCCATTTAAAAGTTACTACGGTTTACATTTTAAATTCTGTTACAAAATATTATTCTATGTTTACTTGTATGTATGCATATATGCGGATGGTATATGATATTACACATATATGTTATTTTAAAGGAGAAACAAGTCACATAAATGCTTTGGTAACACTTTTAATTTCAATATCATTCATTTTTAGGCAACTATTTTATATCAAACGAGAGCCATAATTCAATGAATTACTGGAAATGCTAAGGAATGTAACTTCATAGTGTTCTTGAAATAAGTCAGCAAAAAGAGAAATAAACTACAAAACCAGTACTTTTTAAACAAAAAGATTTATGTGTAAAATTAAAACAAAACAGAAGGACGCCAATGTTCTCTAACTATCGCCAAACTCTTGCAATGTTTTCGCTAGCAATCAGGGTCCACAGACAGTACATCGTGTTGTAACTTTGACTGCGCTCACGCGTGGCAGAAATTTCACATGTACAAATAAATTGACCACGCACAGGTGACTGCTCACATACTTTCGTATTTACAAACAGATTTATCGCCACAAATTCATAAACTAGAAAGTGCTTTCAACCTAGTGCACCACAAGTTTTAAACTTCATTTAAAGTGTTGTTATCATTATGGAACCCTTTATTTATGGAGATGAGTAAAATATACTAAGAAAAAAAATTTCTCAATATTCTGTAATATACTTAGGTAGTATTCCGTTAAAAAACTTGATATTCCATTGCTATGTATCAAGTTATAGTCGATTATGATGTTAAGAACAAATTTTACGTAACGTTTTTAATCTTTAATCTAAATCATTAATATTTAAGTTAACTGAAGAATGCTACGATATTACAATATTTGGCTAAGAGGGAAATGGGCGAATACTGTGGGTATTTTATAAAATTATTTGAAGTGTGCTAGCATATACCTGTATGTAAATTAAAGGAGATTATTTTAATGCAAGAAAAATCAATGACATTAAAATATAATTTTAGTCGGTGTCTGCAGGTCAGTAAGTCAATCTGAATCATATTCTTCTATTACATTTACAATTACAATATGTGTACATTCAGGCATATCTTCTCCTATTTGTAACTTTCTAAAAGTTTTCAAATTTGTTCAGTCCTTTTTGGCGGTGTACCATTTGATGTACAAAGCTCCTGACTATCTGCAGGCGCCCGAAGAGATATGTGCATAAATTATTTTCCGGTTTAGCATGAATTTATGTCTCATGCAAATTTTGACGCTTTTAATTACAATTATATATTAATTTTATTCATAAGCTCACATACATATACATAGCTATTGAAGTAGTAGTTCTCCAGTTTAAATGCATAGATGAAAATATTAAAAATGGGAAAATCCTTAACATACTACAGACTGTTAATAAAATACGAATGTAAATAGTTTAGGAAAACTAAAAACACGCTTTTAAAGCACTTGAAACTAAATATTGGAAAATACTTATAAATCAACTGACAGTAATATATGTTCCATGCTCGATATACGAAAAATTATTTCTCACAATAATACAAGTATTTTTCGGTCAATATTACTGCCAGTTTAAATTATTTTTCCCCGTTAGATTGAAGTGAAGCATGTTTTTTTTAATTATTTTAAACTATATTAATTTGCTTTCGTATTGTATTAACATGTTCACCCATTTGTAATAAGTATATGTTTTTATTATGAGAATCTTTGTTTTAAAATTTAACAAAAATTTGGCGCGGGCTTTATTTATTTCTTTGTGAACACCTCATATCTATATCTAGTATTTTCGACATTGACCTTGCGTATCATAGATTTCAGCATCTCCTTTGTCTTACCGTTTTCGTATTTTATAAACGGTGAGCCGGGCATATTAGGCATATTAGCGCCGTTGGGCATTAGTTCGGCCTGCTGCATTGACTTGGCTGCATTACGTGCTGCATGTGCCATACTATTGCTAATGACGGAGCGATGCAAATTATCACTGCGGTTGCAATTTATGGCTGAAGACTGCGGATGACCGTGCCAAAAGTTATGCACTCCATTTTCCACGTCGAGTAAAATATTGCTGTCGGCATCATTGGTCCGTTGCAATAGTTTCGCTGCAGCATGTGCTGGTGTCCCTTCTGCTGTTGTGGTTTGCCGCGCTGTTAAAATTACATCATTTACTTGATTTGCGACGATTACATTCCGCTTTTTCAAGGTTGTTATCAGCGGTTACTGCGAGCCGATGGAGGTATAACGAGAACGATGTAATGAATGACAACTAACGCTATTGCCAGCTATTTCCCCGCTGCTATTCGGTAAGAGTGGCAGGGAAGAGCGCTGTAGTTGTGGCTTTGACTATGAGAGCTGTTGAGAAATCTAAACTGTCGAGCTAAAATTACCTGCGAAGGAGAATGGAAGACACTTTTTAATTTAGTAAGTTATAAAGTGGGAAGATTTCATCAATTCTTAAATAATCAATGGTCTGTAAATATGAGAACAGCCGGTCGCAATGCTGAAGTACGATTATAAAACGATGAGTATTAAAAGTTTATATTTTTGGAAAATTAAAACATTTTTGCTTTAAGGTTAATAATATGAAATGAGAAATAGGGCTGTTGATCTAGTGATGAAATGGAAGTAGTTCCGAAAATATGAGGCGTGAAGTGTTGGTCTAAGTCGAAGTGAAATTCGTAATGGAAATGAATCTGGTGAAATAAATGGGATAATTGGAAGAAATATATATTTGGATATTTCAAAACAGAAGTGCTAAAGAGATGACAAAGGATAAGAAGAGACGAGATGAGAAGAAATTAAATGATATGAGATTCAATTATTTGAAATCGGGATATAATGTAAATTATCCACTGCGATGAATTAATATGACATGAGATTAATTTGGGACGAGGTGAGATTACCAAAATAATATACAGTATATGTTTCACCGGCTGCATATAATAAAAATCATTTCATTTGGCATAAATATGCAACATTTTTCTTCACTCGTGCCTTTCACATATCCGAGTATGCTCCATTAAACTTAGCTCACCTTAAAACCAGCACGGAATTTGTGACTTAAGATGACTTAAGATTGATGCAGTTCGTTTGGTTATACAGCATACCGGATGTGAGGTCGACAGCTTCGAAGTTATCTGTGAACAGCTGCGATTCAATGTACACGCTGATGACAAACACAGCCATCAGATGTTGCGCATGGAAAGACGCCCAGAAGACAGAAAGCCACTGCTACGTAATATGTGAAAAGGAAAAAAAAGAAAGGGAAAGTAAAAACACAAAGAGAAAAGAGAATATACGAAAAAAGAGCAAGGTAAATATATTTGATTAAAATTCATTTTTTTCGAGACAAAAAGAGAAATGTTGGTATAAAAGAAGGATCTGCTCCAACTAAGTAACAAGTGTACATAATTTGGCAAGCATAACTCCATACAAAGTTTTCCCACGTGATTTGGCAACATAAACAAAAATAACCAATCACATCAGCAGCTTTCCGCTTGACTGTCTGCCTGCTAAAGTAAAATTTGCATTTATTGATGGCACAGGTGTATCAAAGGGAGTACTTTTCACACACCTTTTGTTTGGCTTTTTAAATAGGTTACACGTCTATTTGTTGAATTTAGCTTCGCGTGCATAACAGCGCCTATATGCTGCGTACGTACAATGAATATTGAGAATGATCGACTGCTGCTTCATGTGACATTAATCGACTTGAGCTTGCATGATTAGAATGATTTGTGAGCCTTTGATTGAAGGCATTTTGGTTTGTTTGTTTTGCCGAATTTGCTTGCTGCTTGTGCACCTGATTTTCACGGTGATTGTGAAGGCGTAATATTTTGTAGTGTGTTCTAAAAATTTGAAAGCGTTTCGCGGCAATTAATCACTAAGGCCGTACAATCAAACTGAGAAAGGAAAAAAGTTATGAAAGCAACATCTAAAAATAAAATCGACAGCTACTTCTTGTAAAATATTGTACATTAAGGTTAATTGTAAGCAAGAAATAAATAAAACTGCTTAAAATCGACGTTTCACAAAATACCATCGTGTACTCATGAAATTTTCACTCATAACAAGCTTTCTCTCAAGTCAAGCCACAAAACAACAAAATAGGACAGCAAACGAGATTCTCTAAGTGGTTGAAGTACATATCCACACTATACTATTATTGTGTAGTGTACCAAAACTAATTTCATCAAATTTGTAAAAATATGCGTGAATATATTTCATGCCATAATTTGATAATGAGAGTAAAACACATCTGTAAACGAGTCATAAACAGTTGTGACCACATTTCTTTAAACAGTAAGTACTTTGTTAAGTTTATATACATGCATGTGTGTGATGCTCGGAGTCGTGGCAAATTTATGACAAGTGTGCATATAATATTAATATTTATTTACAGCAATATAGACTTTACTTAAGCTTAGATTGCTTTAATATTATTCGCAAATACTTTTATGGCTTTGCTGAAGCTTGCGTTATCTTTTTATTATACAAACGCACATGGAAGTAAACATAAGCATATCAATCACTGCAAATACATTAACACATATATACGTATTCAAATCGTCGTGAAGATAAATATTTCAATTTGATTGAATTTAGAACGACAGGCACAAAAATTTACTCGGAAGGATTATCATTTAATCATTTGTACTGATGAACTTCATCAGAAGCACCGGGTGGTTCAGAGGAAAGACAATAGAGTGAGGGGATATTAGTCTCGATGGTATCAGAAATGGCCTCCTAAAGGTCTAGGTGCCACTATTCCTATCTACCTAAGTTTATTTTTATGTTTATCTCTGTTGTATACATATTCGAGTATGTTTGCATAATTTTCCATCGAATCAGAGTAAGACTTTATCATTTCCCTCAAAAATTGTCGTCAACAAAAATGTTAATTGTATTATTTCCTCTTTCAAGGCCCAAACAAAACGAAGTTTTCCACAAAAAATATCTCAAATATTAAAAGCTCTCATGTATTAAAACCAATCGTGAATAAAACCGGAAACTTTTCGGAATTGAGCAACATGTCAAGAGTTACTAAAAGGACTATGTAAGGTTTGAAAAAGCTGTTATGCAAAATGTATATGATCACTAAGTTTACAAGGCAGGACTTTTGAATGCTGGCTTTACGTGATTTAAAAGCTAATGGACAAGACTGGGTCCAGTAGAAAGTGCAGATGTTTATGTTAACCTCCAGCGTGTATTGTTTTTTAGCAAATTTTTGTTTTTGGAAATATGGCCTCTTATACATATTTAATTGATTTTCGAACCCCTAAAACTATATAGCAGAAATTATTCATGTATCTGCGATAGGGGATGTTATACTTTTAGTAAAGTATGTATTTAAAATCGTATTTGGCTCGCCAGTAGCTCTCACACTACTCTTTTCCTACATCTTTAAAATCACAAAGAATTGATTTCCTGTTCTTAATGAAATGTATATGTTTTCTGGCTTTTATCGAGTTGGGTTACGAGGTAGATCCATATGCTTGATCCCATTCTGAATTTATTTGTAAGTAACTTTCACATTTTCGTACATTTTGTATTTATAAAAATTTTATTAAAATCATTTGTGTAACAAATAAAACTCACGGTTGTTTGGTGCATAATTCCACTTCAAGTTTATTTTTACATGCAAATAATGTGTCTCATATATTAAAGGTGCTAAGAATATATTTTATTTGACTCTGCCTGTACTTTTGCTTATTTACCGTTTGTCAACTGCGTCAAGCAGTCAACTTTAACAAAACCTATGTGTTTGCTTTGGCTCTAATCCTAGTCCGTTTTTTCACAAGTTTTTATACATTCCAAACTCGTGTATGTTGTAAATTTAGTACTTAGAATGACAGCGAGAGCTAAAGTTAAAAGTTCACGAAACATCTGCATTGCTTGTACGGCAAATCACACACACACATCAACAATCGAATGGAGCGGAAACTCGTAGAATTTTAAATGGTGGTCCGTTGCATTGTAATGCATACTGCGCGGTTATAAAACAAAATTACGAACATTTATAAACACTTCGTCCTGTGTGAGAAAAAAACAACCAAAGTCAGCGACAATAAATTACGCGTTGAGTTCATCGGATACACCCTCACTGTAGTACATTTGAAGCTAGTCTAGCTAGTTAATGTAGAATTGAAGAATAATGGAGTACAAAAAGAATAATAATCTAAATGTTTTATTATTTCTCTCATCGATTGATTGAATTTGTGCATTTAAACAAATTTAGTATGATTTTTGTAGGCAAATCCGTAGTAAACATCTAGGCACATATGTATATACCTTGCGACCGACGAAAGTTTCCGGAAATTGTAAATAAAAAAAAAAATTTTTTAATCTTCATCAATCTTTATTTTGTAGCCTTCAAAATATGCTCCTTCTGAAGCGGGGCACATATGCCACCTCTTTTTCCAATCATCGAAACCTGCCTTGCAGGTCCGGCTCCGGGATCGCCTTCAGTTCCCTCTGCAAATTTTCTTTTACGGCCTCAATCGAGTGTAAACGGGTTACACGGAGTGGTAAATTGAGTTTTGGAAACAAAAAAATCGCATGGGGCCACATCCGGTGAATACGGTGGTTTATCGATGGGATTGAACGAGTTTTTGGTCTCAAAATGATTCATTGTACTCTGTAGCAACATGTTGTACATTAAGACCAGAAATTTCCCGGTAATTGTTTTCGATATTCGTGGCTTGGTTCATTATGAACTTTTGAAAGTAATTGTTTTCGGAATATATAGTTGTACATACGAGAGTAGAATTAAATTCAAAGAGCAAAAAGTTAATCGCATCTAAAGGTGAAAACTGTACACAGACATCGCAGAGGGATGCATTTAGAGACATTATAAATTACGAAGAGTGCTTTAAAAAGAATGTTAATGCTATAACTATTAACTGTTACACTTTCAAGCTCTTGTGTATCTTGCTGAAAGAGCATAATTTGTACTTGACAAATAAATGGACTGTTTTTTTCCCCAGTGCATGTATATCTGTATATATGTTTATGTACATATCGGGTTTTCCAATAGGGATAATATGATTTCTAAGTGTCGTTTCAGCCATTTTTAATATGTTCATCATTTTATTATATTGCGAGAAAAGTTTGGAGAATCGATAATTTCAAGAAATGTCATTGAATGGCCTCAAAGAAGTTGTGATTTAACATCATTAGACTACTTATTGTAAGGTTATTTGAAGTCATTGGTCTTTAGCAATAAACCAGACTCCCTTCAAGTTGTAGAAGTCAATATGGAACGTGCTATTTATGACATACGACTTGATTTAGTGGAAAAGTACTCGAAAATTGGGTTCATCGAATTCGCCTTTGCAAAAGAATTTGTGGAGGTCATTTCAATGATGTTATTTACAGAACTTAATTGTATTCATGGGAAGACTGTGACAAAAACGGCAAAGCAAAAATAATAAATTGAAGAGAACGGCGCATGTCACAGAGCAAATATCACTTAACGGTTATTTGAAAGCATGAGACCGCGATTTAGCAAGTTGGATGCATTTTGACATATATATAAAAACACATACATAAATAACACAAAACGTATTTAAATTTATATAACATATTTACTTCAATGCTGAGGTTCACCGTTTTATCAAGAAGACAGAATATGCAATTCACTACTATAAGCGCATTTCCAAGAAAATTGAGTTTACAGAAATGACAATCAGTGCAACAAAATGCAGTTCTTGGTGCATACATTTTAATTATTGCTTCTTTACCACACAAACACACAATGACGAGCAACCATTTTTAGCTCGTTTCTACTCACTCAGTGTACATATGTATATATATACTATGTAATTATATTATATTTCTATTATTAAAAGCAATAAGTCATAGCCTATGGCAAGCGAAGCAAAAACTAAATTTTAAATATTAACATTTATTTCAATAATAAATTAATTAATTTTAAGCATTTGAGCTAAGCACAAAGTAAACAATCAATCTATTTCCCAGCATTGTTTTTGCTATAAACCACTTTATTGTTATATAAAAATGTTTTATTATATATCAATTTTAAATGGAACTTTATGAAAATGCTGACCGCCGCATCTAAAACAAAATGGCGCAAGCGGAAAGCAAAAAGTAGACATCGCCAACATAAGATTGGAAAATTTAACCAATTACATGTGAATATTAACCAATAAGCAATCAAGAGTTAGCATATGCCAAATCAATAATGAACTCTAACCTTTAGATGAAAATAG